CAATCAGAGCTAACAGAGAAAATCAAACAGCCGAAATATCGAGACGAGTAAAAATGGGATGGGCAGCATTCGGCAAACTTTCTTACGTTCTAAAAAATCAAACAATCCCTCTATACTTACGAAGCAAGGTATATAATTCCTGTATAATACCGGTGCTCGCCTACGGAGCACAGACATGGACATTTACACAGGCCAATTTGAATAGGATAAGGAAGGCACAAAGAGCGATGGAGAGACAAATGTTGGGTGTATCACTTAGAGATAGAAAACATAACCAGTGGATCAGAACCAGAACAAAGACAGTAGACGCGATAGAACAAGCAGCAAAACTGAAATGGAAATGGGCTGGACACAATGAACGTCTCCAAGACGGACGATGGAACAATGCCATCGGAAAGTGGCGTCCATACAATGCAAAGAGATCAAGAGGCAGACCACAGATGAGGTGAAAAGATGAGATCAGGAAACAAGGAGGTCCCACATGGCAGTGAACAGCTCAAGATAGGGAAAGATGGAGAGAACTGGGGGAGACCTATATCCAACAATGGAAGGATAGAGAATAGGGTCAAAAAAAAAATAAAGTACTTCAAAATTTTTAAAATCATATTTGTTCATTTTAATCACTTGATCACCTATCGAACTGATTAATTGTGGCCAATCCAAAGGCGTTACGATCTGGATTGTTTGATGTTTTTTTATAGATCTTTCTATTAGACTTAGTCAGGTTCTAAGTGAGGTTGTTCTTTCAGTAGATATTTATAGTCAACTTATTTTAAATGAGGGCAGATATGCAAACGCCAAAAGTAGCTCATCATTACCATAACATTGCGATTTTGACTGGGGCAATTATCTGACCAAATAACCAATTCTTAAAAATCAGTTTGTGATAGAATTGTTATAGCCCATTTAGTCAATGCAGAGACAATTTCGTAGCCAACCCTTCCACCTTCGGATTCATCCCAGATAAAGTAATAATATATATTTTGTATATATACTTATTGATATATCCTGATATATCTGTTTGATTTTTTTCCTATTTATTGTTTGCTTTCATTTTTTATCGATTTTCCGCATCTAAAAGATGTTGGTTATAATCTTGCCATATTGGTATTATTTCTTGTTCAGAACAGTTTTTATTTGTAGAATAAAACGATCGCAAGTATGACAAGTTCCACTGACACCGATTTAAATGCAAAAATCGGTATTGAACATTTTTTATACAGCCATAATTTAACACTTTCATTCTTTGGAATATTGTCTTCCTTACACTTTAAAGTATATAATTTGAACACATTTTTTAAATTCTGCTTAATTCTGGTTCGAGATTTTTGCAGGTTTTGATTGAGTAATCATTGGTTAGTGATCAGTATACCGGTGTTTAGGGGCTCGGAATACAGAGACCTCGGAAGCCATGAAGAAGGAATCGAAGAGGATGTCGAAAGCTCGGTGTAATGTTAATCGACTCGGTTTAACCCGGAAGAATGTTGGGTTTAATATTAATTCCCATAATAGTATTAATCTTAGCTCTAAGTTTAATTGTACTACTAACCGCAGAAATCTTTCGATATAATATAAATATGTAGGATTATTTAGGTACAGCGGTCTCTAATAAAAATCTTTGTTTTTCTAAGAAAGTCAATATTTCGCTATTTATTTGATGGCTTCATCAGGAGTAAACTGTAAAAGAATTTGAACATTACAAAAAAAATGATGTACAAATAGATTTAAAACACTCACAAAATTTAAAATATTTCACAAATAAAAACTGACATTGAAGTGTGCAAAATATTGAAAATCAAGATTAAACTGTCTTTAGCACGTTCGTTACAGTAATACGATTAAAAATTTAAATTACTTCAAATATACAAATAACAATAAAAGAGACGTTGGAAGAATGATATCTCTTTGATGAATTATTAAGGTTAGTTGTTATTAAGGTAAATGTTGGCTATTTTGATAATTTATAAATATTGTTCAATATATTACAATATTTGTTACTTAACTGTCCAGTGTCCGTTTTATAATTTAAAGTGTTTTTATTTTTGTGAATGTGATACATCTCAAGAAATAATCTAATTTTGTAGTTATCTGTATCAAAATGTTAATTTTGTTATAGTCTAGCATATGACCGGTGTTTTTACAGTGCTCAACTACTGCACAAGTACTTTTTCCCAAGCGGCAATTACTTTTATGTTATGTGATGCGTTGTTTTAGCCATTGTGATGTTTGGCAAATGTACCTATTTTGACAGCCTAGACACGATATTTCACAAACAATATTACTTATATATAAGGTTGGTACCGGGTCTTTGATTTTTTGAAAATATCGGTTTGCTGTTGACTGGATGGATGGATATGACAGAATGAGTTAGTCCAGCGATTCTCAAACTTTTTTTACACGTACCACTTACATAAATTCTGCGTCAATCGCGTACCACCTATTAAAAAAGTAGATAATAAAATTTACTAATTTTGGCAAAAATGTATTTATTTAAAAAAGGGCATTAGAAATGTTACAAAATAAAACTTACAGTCTGACCCAATCCAAAATTCAGTGAGAAGGATGGTTCTGCATAGCTACAAGTGAATCGATATCAGGATCAATTGTGCTTAGTTTCATTCGTAAATTTGGATCAACATTAAGCCTACTGCGAAATTTATTTTTCAGTTGTAGCATAGCGCAGAAAATCCAGTTTTACACAGGTAGGTTGTCGTAAAAGGAAGTAAAAATAACAATGCTTTTTCTGATAAGGCTGGATATTCATTTTTAATATTTAGCCAGAATTCAGCTAATTCTAATTTAGAAAACTCTATTTTCAAGCCTCCATCACAAGATAGTTCTATTAAAGATTCTTTTTCATCCTGTTTTAATGATTCAGGAATGCTATCCAAAATAAATGGTTGTCGTATCCAAAGAAACTGAGCATAGTCTTCGTCAAAATATTCTTTAAAACTATCAATTAGCATTTGACAATGCTGTTTTATGTTAAAAATAAGATCATCTTTAATCTTTATTTCATGATCAACCACAAAATTTTCTAAATTGGTAAACGACTGCAAGTCTTTGTTTGAAACACTATTTTTCATCATATAACATTTCTTGATAAAAAGCATTTATTTTGTCGTTTACAGAAAATCGATTATGTGATTTACCTTGTAAGCTTGAGTTTAGGTCATTTAATCGATTAAATATATCTGTTAAGTAAGCTAGTGTTGTAAGCCACAATTCATCTAATAACCGATCACGCAGTTCAAAATTGGTTTACATTAAAAACACATGTACTTCAGAACGCAACTCGAATAACCTGTTCAACATTTTTCCTTTTGATAGACATCTTATCTCCGTGTGTAGAAATAACTGAATATGATCACTTCCCATTTCAGAGCATAGTTTTGAAAATAAACGCGAGTTTAAGGCTCGAGATTTTATGAAATTGACTATCTGAACGGCTTCATGGAGAACATGTTTAAATTCATCGGGCATTCGCTTTGCTACCAAAGCTTCTTTGTGGATACTACTATGGGTAAATATACAATTTTCTGCAACCAGTTTTACTTTGGCAGTTACACCTCCGTATTTTCCTGTCATGGTTCGGGCACCATCCGAACAGAAACCAACGCATTGCTTCCAGTCTAGTCCATTTTCCACAAAAAAATCATTGATTTTCTTGAATATTTCATCGGCAGTAGTTCGTTCCGTTAACGCCTCACAAAATAAGTACTCTTCTTCGATTTTGGTTTAAAATATATACCGCACATAAACCATAAGCTGAGCATAGTTTGTAATATCTGTGCTCTCATCAAGTTGTATTGCAAAAAAAATACTATTTTTTATCCGGTTTATCAATTTCTCTTTAACATTTAATGCCATTATTTCAATCCTACGACGTACGGTATCATTGGATAATGGTATAATACTAAGCTGTTTACCTGAATTCTCTCCAAAAATACACGTTACCATATCTTGTGCGGCAGGCAGAACTAGTTCTTCGCCGATTGTATGCGCTTTTCCACACTTCGCAATTCTTAAACTCACGAGGAAGGATGCCTGTACTGCTTTTTGGTTGCTGCCGGTGAAATTCGATATTAATTTTTTTGTGCCTCTCATCTCCGTTAACTTCCGAACGAAGTAATCCTTAGGTTTATTTTCCAACACTGAATGTTTTGTACTGAAGTGGCGTTTTAATAGCGAAGGTTTCATACACTGGTTAGAAAGAATTTCCGAACAGATTACACATTGGGGCCTTGGCTCATCATTTATATTCGTGAATGTAAATCCCATATTAATGTATTCAGGATCATATTTCATAACCGCCACTTTTAGTTTTTTGAAATAATTCTTTTTGTCATCACCCTGGATAGGCTCCGACTCTGAAGTGGAGCTCGATAGACTGGGATTTTCAGATGTTCTGTTGTCTCTTTTAAGCCACTTATCCATTTTTTATATGCAAAAATTAGCACGAATCAGTAACAGCAAATTACTCGTTTCGACAAAATTAACCACAACGACTGACGGCCACGAGGAAACTAATGACCACTGATGACGTGAATCAAGGGCGGTGGCAGTTTGCCGGGATTCCAGTGTTGCCAACAATGAATAAGACATTACGCGCTTGTGTTTCCAACTCGCAGCGTTGCCATGCACCACGTAAAAGATAACATTCGCGTATAAATTTGATTAAAATTCTTCGTTTCTTCTAGTTTATAGAGTACCACCTTAAAGTTCTTTGCGTACCACCAGTGGTACGCATACCACAGTTTGAGTACGGCTGAGTTAGACCATTAATAAAGGGGAGTTTTTTTTATATTTAATTGATTATTGTTAGAATCATGGACGGTACCACCATAGAAATTACTGCTGTAAATAAGTTTTTTTTATTTGTTTAGGATAGCTGTTACGAAAAATTTTGTTTAATATGTTCAGTTTTTTTTTGTAAAATATATTATATATAGCATTGTGAACTTATAGAATTATGAGGTTGTGCATTGATACAACAAAACATTATTACCTATTATTTATTTATTACACATACATCTTACTATAACTATTCTCTAAACTAAAAATACTGGGATGAGCAACGAACCAACTAGTGAGCAATGGCAGCAGAGACAAGAAATACATTTATAATAATTTACTATTTATCCTTAGATTAAATATTTCAATTTAGAATAAATAATATTTTAACTGTAAAAACGAAATAAAGTTTAGTCAAAAATTGTATTTAAATATTCTAAAAATATGGTGTTTAATATTTTATTTAAATTATGGAGCCTATTTGATGCTGTTTTTTAAAATATGCTCAGATTGCAATCATGTGTTAAAAGATTGACGGATAAATAGTAAAATAGTAAAAAATGTGGAGTACGATCAGTCAAAATAAAATTAATGAAGTCCTAATCCCAAGTCAAGTCCAATTCCGTGGCCAATAACTGGAGCGTGAGCGAGGATCGGAGCATGGCTAATTACTGGAGCAGCTACTACAGTTTTTTGGACTACTTGAGGGTGGGCGGCATGTCCAACTCGACTAACTACAGCGTTGAAACCATTGTGAGGATCGGCGGTGTACTTGACAACTCGAATGGTGCCGTCTGGTTCAGCTAAAGAATATTCTCCTTTAACTGTATCCCCTACTCTTACTTCAGACTGTTGCTTGTTGTCACCTGTGTGGGCATCTTGGACACCGTATTTAAATTGATAATTGGCTGGGGCCTGTAAAATAAACAAAAATAGTTGGAAAATTAAGCATTCAGTATTATAAAAGTAATATCACAGAAAGTGATGGAGTCGAAGAAAGCTGGGCAAAAATTAAGTATAATCTAATCTTAACCACGGTCGAAGAAGTTCTTGGTGAAAGAAATATAAATCAAAATAAATCGTTCCCAAGGCGAAGAACTCCTTGGTTTTGTACAGAAGTGAAGGAAAAATGCAGCGAAAAGAAAAAAGCTTACCTGAAATACATGTCAACCAAAACACAAGTGGCATACTATAATTACAAGACAATTAGAAACGAAACACACGCACTTGTAAGAAAAATAAAAATGATCCCTGGAAACGCTTTTCAAATGAAATAGAACAAGCTTTTTATGGTTTGCAAAAGGAAATATGGAGCTATGGAAATATGGAGGTCAAAGAACGGCGGTAAAGGAACTAATAGATCCAAAATACATACAAAAGAAGACTTGGATTGGCTACCTAAAAAAGCTATATGCAGAGGAAGAACAAGCAACGGTAGAACCAAAAACACCAGAAATTACTACAAATGAAGAACTTAATAAAATGTACAGTAAATTTGGAAAATACTTGACAACATAAAGAACAGAAAAGCAGCGGGTAAAGACGGGATACCTAACGAGTTACTAAAATATTGTAGAGCAACAATGGCAGAAGAATTAACAACATTAATAAATAAAATTATAAAACACTTTTAAAATACCTGAAGAATGGAGAACGAGTGAACTAATTCTACTATTCAAATTAGAGAGAAATCACTAGAGTATAATAGACCAGCATTTCTGTGTCTAAATGACCTAAAGAAAGCGTTTGACAGAGTAAGACTTAAAGATATAATCCATCTTCTGTATAATAAAGAAGTTCCCCTAAATATTATAAAAACTATCAATAACATCTTCAAATCAACAAAATGGAAGTCAAAATAGATGGACAACTTACAGAACCTATAGAAATGAGCAGCGGAATAAGACAAGGGGATTCATTGAGCCCCATGCTCTTCAATTTGATCATAGATGAAATCATATAAACCGTTAACAAAGGAAAAGGATACAGAATGGGAAACAAAGAAATCAAAATACTCTGTTACGCGGACGACGCAATGTTGATAACCCAAGACGGAGATAGTCTGCAAAGACTGCTCCACAGATTTAACATAAGAGTAAAATAATTTAATATGACAATCTCATCTAAGAAAACTAAAACAATATTAGTCAGCAAAGAACCAACCAGATGTAAAATAGAAATTGATGGCATCAGTATTGAACAAATAATGGAAATACAATATCTGGGAATTACACTATCTAGCTATGGAGAACTGGACAAAGAAGTGAGAGATCAAGTACAAAAAGCAAATAGACTGGCAGGATGCCTTAATAACACTATATGGCGAAACAGACACATTGTCGAAATGGCGAAACAGACACATTGTCACTTAAATGAAGTTATGAATTTTTAAAGCCACAGTAAGACCAATGATGAATGTCTCAGAAATAAGACCCGACACAGCTACAACGCAAAGGCTACTGTAAACTATAGAAACGAGAGTACTGAGAAGAATTATAGGAAATATGCTAAGAGATCGAAAGAGAAGTGAAGACATTAGAAGAAAATGTAACGTACAGTGTATAACTGAATGGGCACAAAATAGCAAAAAAGAATGGAATAACCACATAAGCAGAATGGAGGAGAACCGTGTCGTCAAAATAGCAAAAGATAAGTGACCAATCAGTAGAAGAAATATCGCACGACCGCGCAAAAGATGGAGTGACAACCTTCCATAGAGGTATAGTCGGTTCGCTATTCCCAATCCGAAGTGTCTAGTAAATTTAGTAATTTTTTTTGCGAAGTTAGTTACGTTTTCACAGACTAGAAGTGGCTGGAAATTACTATACAGCCAAGCACACGTGCTCATATCTAGTATTGATTAAACAACCGTAATAAATAGAATAGAACTTTATGAATTACCTACAATCAATATTTATTTATTTACATCATATAATATATAATAACAAATAATAAAATTATAACCGCGATTAATACAAATATTTACTGAAATACTGTGAGATAGGAATTTTTGTGTTGTAGGTTTTCAGCTATGAATCTGTCAAAATATGAACAATCAGAATTGATTATAAAAAAGAAGAAAAAGAAGAAGTTACAAGTAATATTTAAGCATAATAAAGGATTTAAAGGAATAAAAATATCTATGTAGCCTTTGTAGATGTACCAAAATCAAATGACGAAGTACCGATATCGCAACTGAGGAAGCAAATAAATATTTATAGAATGAATACAGTACTTCTTAGGTCTACTTAAATATATTATGTCAAATATAAAGTAGGAAAATAAGTAACCGCTTCGTTAAAAATTAAAAAAAAAATTTTTTGTTCTTCTTTCTTACGATTTATCGACACATATCCCTAGTATAATGGACGCAAAAGCAAAAGATCGATACATGGAAAAACACCAGAAACATGGCAATAAAATATAAAATTTGCTCAATTCCTTGGTAATGATCAAATAGGAACCAGCCAAGGAAGATAGCCTACATTTTATTATTTTGTACGCAATCTCCTTAAATCCTTAATTATATCATGAAATACAAAGGAAAAATTTTTCTTCTTTTTCTAGTGCCGTCTCCACTAATGAAGGTTGGCTATAACCATTGCAAATTCGTCTCTATCTTCTGCTTTTATTAAGAGCGTCTGTGTGTTTAATCCTGTCCAGTCGCGAATGTTTTTCAGTCATGATATTTGTCGTCTAACAGAATCCCTTTTTCCTTAGATTTTACCCTTCATAATCAGCTGTAGCAACTCGTACTTATTACTTCTAAGTATGTGCCCAAATATGCTGTCTTGCACCTTTTAATGGTGGTTAAAATTTCTCTATCTCTTTCCATTCTATGCAACACCATTTCGTTCGTAATATAATCGGTCCATGGTATCTTCAAAATTCTCTAAAAATAAGCCACATCTCACAAGCTTCCATTTTTCTCAGTAAGTCAACATTAACAGTCCAGCTTCGACACTATAAAGAAGAATAGAGTGGATATATCGGATTCGCAAATTGAGTCTTTGGTTACTCAGAAATTTCTTCATCTTCAAAAAGGCTGCTCTGGATTGCATTATTTTTAAGCAAATTTCTAATTTTGGATTCAGATCTTTCGTAATACAGACTCGTAAGTATTTAATTTTGTCCATTTGCTTAATATCTTCATTTTTTATCTGGATCCTTGTAATGACTTTGCTCCTCTTATTGATAACCATGGTTTTTGTTTTCTTTATGTTTATTATTATTAACCTGTTCTCCAGTATCACACATTGTATTTAATAACATCTGCAGATCTGTCTCACTTTCAGCCATAATAACTGTATCGTCAACATAACGGATGTTATTTATATTTTCACCATTTATCTTTATTGAAGGAATATTCCATTGTTAGTCCAAATAGCTATACTTCTCTTCAAACAGATATTCCTAAAACACCTTGGTATAAGTCTTTTAATGTACCTAGAAAATATGTTACCACGATCATTAGACTGAGATTTGGACATGCTTGTTACCCCAAACATTTATTTAAACTTAAGGTTTTAGATAATGTTCGATGTGAATTTTGTACAGAAGAAGGAAACCTAGATCATATATGTTTCAGTTGTCCCAGAAATACTTTAATTTCATCCAGATTAATAAATAACTTACATAAACACAATATATTAGCCCCTTGGAGTCTTCAGTACTTATTATCACTAGACTTGAGAGCAGTGTATGATTCCTTAGTTATGTTTTTAAAGGATAGTAAAATAACCATGTAAATAATTATGCATTAGTTAATAACGTAACCTTTGTTTCTAACCCAATTGTCAAATTCCTTTCTTACCGTGGCCTAGTGTTGTATGTCTTTTAAAAAAATGCCTTGATGAGCCCCTAGGCGAGAACAGAGTGACCCTGTTTACCTGTTTTTTGTTTTGAATATTTATTAACTCAGACAACTATTTGTACCATGTTGAGTCTGGCTGAATGACTAAAAGTCTATGCCAAAAAAATCTTGATCCCTTCTATACAGTTTTCAATTTTCAACTGCTTGCGTAAATAACTCTTTGCAATATATATTAAATAGTAATAATGAAAGTACACAGCCCTGTCTCACTCCTCTACTTATCTGTTGCGCATCCCTGCTATTTCCATCTAATGTTACCACAGCCTGTTGGTTCCAATAGAGATTTTTTATTATGCTAATGTCATTTTCTCTTTAGACATTCCATAAGAATGTTATGTTTAACTTTGCCGATAGCTTTTTCATAGTATATAAACGCAAAAAAAGATCTTTTTGTTGATCTCGACATTTTTGGGCAAGAGTTGTAAAACTATACAGAGCTTTCACTGTTTCGAAACCGTTACGAAAGCCAAACTGTCTATTACTTATATCTCGCTTTGCACTTTCTGAATATTCTTGCATGTTTAATCTTTAAAAATGCTTTTAACAAGTGTGACATTAAACTTATTAATCTGTAGTCATTACAACAAAGGTCGATAGCAGCCATTCTGTAGCTTTCAGACCAGATTGGTATATGTTGCTAAAGAGTATAGTTATTGCACCTTAATCTTCATCTATAAGTTTAATCAGCTCGATATGAACTTTACCTAGCCCAGAGGCTCTGCCAGATTTTGAGTTGTTTATAACATGTTAAACTTCAGATTTTAATATTATTGGAACTTCCCCGTTATAAATTTATGTTGGTTCCGTTCTTGTATCCATAAAACTACAAAACAATAATACGCTGTTTTCTAACATATAGTTCATAGACCTGGACTCTAACAAATCAGTAATGAAACATGTTGGAATGTTTCGAAAGAAAAGTACTAAGGCCAATCTATGAAGCAGTGAATCACAATACAGTGTGGAGAAGACGATACAACTTCGAATTTTATAGAATATACTGAAAAGACCTTAATACTGGGAAGAGGTAGCTTAATGGCACGGAATTAATATCTATTGTCTAGCATATGATAAAGAGAAATAAAAACATTATCAAAAATGTAGTTCAGAGGGTTACACTGAACAGTTTGGTGGTATGTAACGTTACTAAGGCTCCTGGAAATATACTTTTGATAAAGAAGATATACTGTTAAAGTCAAATTTGCAGTAGATCGAAACATGAATGAAACGAACAAATATATAACGAAGATGTAGATTTTATATAAGTGTGTGAGATACTTTATAAAATCACAAGAAAGTAAAACTAAGAATTTATTAGATACAAATGATTATTTATTTGGTTAAATCTGCCTTAACTGTCCATTATTACTTACATGTAAATCGACTGATGGTTGGGCTACAGCAATTGAATGCCCAGCAACAAGAGCTCCAGATCCAAGAAGACCATGACCACCCAAGCCTAGTCCCAGTCCTCCATCTAGTACAGAGATGGCTACTCCATGAGCAACAGCTACGAATGCGCAAACAAGTACAACCTGAAAGAATATAGTGAACATTTTATTCTTTCCTATTATATCACTTTACTTTTTAAACTTTGAGGGTATACAAGGCAACTATCGAACACGGTGATACAACTATGCAGGGCAAGATTAAATTAATCACAGTGTTCGATAGTTGCCTTGTATACCCTCAAAGTTTAATTCTTCGAACATTCAACCTTATATTGACTTTACTTTTTGTTGTTGTACTGAAGCCAATTAACTCTTATAAAAATACATTGTGTCTGTTATAGTGTATATGTAAAGTAATTGACTAGTTATGACATAACTTTTGATTTACAATGAATCGCTTATTAGATTCTAACGACATCGGTACCTCGAACGAGTACCAATTTGACAAAGAAAATATTGTTGTTAACACTTTTCACTTCCGCCGGATTCAAATTCACAATCTTTGAGATTTTACGATCAGTAAGTTGACATTTCACCTTGCTACCAAGGCAGTTATATTTTGGTCTTTATATTAGTTTTTGATTTCATTTTAGATTTAAAATTATTTTTAGAAACGTAGTCTTATGTATCCAACACTTCTTTAAATCAATTCTCAAAATAGAATGCATAAGAAAATAGACGAAGACGCAGAATAGATTATTCTTTCGCAGATATGCCTACATATGCATCAGGAAATATATGCCTGTTTAATTGATTTTCAGAACGCATTTGGATGAGTCCAATATAATTGTTTTAAAAGAAATTATGTTAAACAAAAACATATATAGCAGAAACATTACAATTATTTGTACCCTAAACTCTAATTAAAAATGAGGGCATTGAAGAGAAGTCAATAAGAGCCTAATAATAAACGATGAGCCTGTTAATAACATAAGATTTGCTGAGGACACCGTATTTTTGTTAAGAACACTAGAAGAACTACAACACCCTGCTCAACAAGTCAATATGCATTGCTACAATTATAAATAAAAGATATTAGAAGAAAACTAACCTCATGGTTATTACGAAAGCACAAAACATAATAGATAATTAAAAGAATATCTTTTTATGATCACAATATCAATATAACGCTGAACTGATGTGACGCGGAAAGGAAAGCAAGTAGAAGATCAGAAAGTAAGGTTAAAGAATAAGGATTTGGCAAGGGTTTTTAAGAGTAGACTGCTGGAAGAACTTGAGGAAAAAGATACAGTAAATGACTAGTGGTAAGCGAACAGTAAAATTGTGATGCGAGTGGGAAAGAAAGTGCTAGGAAAAACATCTGATAAAGGGCCTCTTAGAGAAAAAAACTTGGTGGTGGAACTATAAAGTGCAGTAGATGGATGGCGGGAAAAAAGAGGGTAGCAAAAATATACAACAGGTCTAAAAGAAAGAAAAATAAGGATTGTTACAAGGAAGCAAAAAGGGAAGTGAAGCGTGCTGAAGCTACTACTAAAGAAAGATCATCTGTATAGCTGTAGGAAGCGTTGAGAACACCCTAGGGGATGAAAGAGTTATACAGAATTGCTAAAACAAGCGACAAATCAAAAGAAATTGATCAACGTACGTAACATTAAGAGTACGGATGAAAGAGTGTTAAGATCCGATGTTAAAATAAAGCAAAGATGGTATGAATACAATTGAAAGTTGCTAAATGAAGAACACCAGAGGACACACAGAAAATGAGTGATTCCAAATAGGAATATAATACCTGGAATAGCGAGAGATAAAATTGTCAAGGCGTTAAATAGGATAAAGAATGGTAAGGCAGTAGGACCTGATGGAATAACTGTGGAGGTTTAGAAGGCTCTAGGGAAGGAAAGAATTTTGTGGCCAATTTTTGAGTTGGATATATGAGGAAGAAAGGATCCCCAATGAATGAAGAAAAAGTGTGATGGTATCATTGTATAAAGATAAAGGGGATATTAAGAACTGTAAGAAATGTAGATAGATAAAGTTATATGTCGCACACAACAAAAATTTGTAAGATAACTGTAAAGTTAAGGTTAAGGAAAGTGACATCGATAGAAGAAGAATAGTTTGTGTTTATGCCAGAAAGAAAGATAATGGGTGCCTTGTTTGCTTTGAGACAGTTGATAAAGAAATACGACAAGAAGAAAAGAGAGCTACATTTAATATTGATATATCTTAAGAAGGCTTAAGACATAGTTTTTAGACAAGAGCTATAGAAATATATGAGATAGAAATGGGTTCCTGAGACGTATGTAAGACTCGTGAAGGATATCGAAGTGTACATCAAAGTAAGAACTTTTGTCGGATTGACCGAGATTTTTTCAGTAAAGGTTAATTTGCATTAAGGTTTTTCAATGAGTAATTTTGTTATTCATATTCTGACAGAGAAAGTAAGAAAGGGAACTTAGTGGTCAATGCTCTTTGCTGATGATATCGTATTCGTAGAGGAGAGCAAATAAATGTTAGAGAAGAAGTTGAAGGGTTGAAGAAGCGCTCTTGAAGAGGGGTACCAAGGATTACCAGGATGAAAATGGAGTAGGTATATGTTACAGGAGAAAATGGAGGGTTAAAAAAAAGGCTTTTGAAGAGGGAGGACTTAAACTCAGCAGAGTGAAAACGGAGTATATGTAGTTGAGAGGAAGAGGTATGGTCGGGGACATAGAATTACTTGTGAAAAAACCAAGACGAATAGGAGAATTTAAATACCTTGATAACTACATAACAGCAAATGAGACACTAGATCGAGAAAATGTCCACAAAACACAGGCTGGTCAAAAAGCAAGTGGAAGCAAATGAGCGGGGTACTCTGTAACTAAAAAATCGAGGAAGGCTGAGAGAAAAGATATGCAGTGAAGTGTAGTATGTATAGAAAATTTAGAAAAAGAAGAGGGAGGTAGCTGACATAAAAATATTACGGTGTATGTTGGGTAAGACTAGAAGGGACAAGATCAAAAAATATTCACAAACATAGACTGCAATGGTTTGTTCATGTCAGACGTAGAAATGAAAACTACGTGGGACGAAGGATAGAGCTGTTGAAAGTTAATGGAAGGAGAGGTAGAGGAAACCTGAGAAGAAGATGGAAGGTCTGTGTGAAGAAGAAGATGAAGAACTTGAAAGAGACAGGTTTAGCTAAAGAATACTCTATCGACAAAAATGAGTGGCGATGAAGAATACGGAACAGCGACCCGTGAAAAGGGAAAAGCTGAGGTAGAAGAAAAATGTGATTTTACTGACCGACATATTCTGAAAATATCAAACGCACTACATCTTAAACACTTGGGAAAATAATGTGAAGTTAAAAACTCAATAAAAATCAGTGAGTTAAAACATTTGGTACACATTATGAGAGGTAAAAAATACAATATATACGAAATATTAAAGGAAAAGAGGCATAGGAAGACGTACAACTTTGTGGCTACGCAATCTCCGTGAATGGTTTGGCTATAGTCCAGTTGAACTTGTCAGACCCGTAACAAACAAAAGTATAATTGCCAGAATGAGTCTTAATCTCCGATAAAAGCCGAAATTAAAGAAGAAGAAGTTGTTATATATCCATTTTTATGGATATATAATAAGAACACTCCAGAATTTAAAACCAGATCGGTTAGTAGAAATAAAAAAAAACAAAAAAAAAGAGTTAGATGAAATAAAAAAGAAAGAGAAAAAGACTAGAATCATAAGGACAAATAGAACAATGAAGAGAACAGCTTAAAGAAAATGTATTCTGGATTGGAATGGATATCCGAGTTATCTGCTTGTCATAAGGATTAGATTCTAAGTCTAATTGAGACATTACACAATACTATAACTTTGAAGAAAATTAAACAGATTGAAGAGAAGGTTTAAGTAAGATACATATCACAGAAATTAAGTTCAGAATAAAATATATAAATATTCAAATATACAAGTAATACAAATATATAGTACTACAAATACATTTAAAAATATCGTTTTGAATACTATGAATTTGAATAATATCTTACCTTAGCAATCATGTTGATTTCAGTACCTAATCACGAACTGTTATCACCTCAGTCTGCATCGAATATATATAGTACTAACCCAAATCCAAATTTAAATAAATAGCGTCACAAATATTAATTGATTAAACAATAAATAAAAAATGTATTGTAGTTGCAAGACCTGATCAAAATGAGTGCAAACGCACATGCAAAAGTGCGAAAGTGGTTGTGACCATTTTTTTTGTCTAGTTTCGTCGGCAGGTTTCAAACCTGAAACATTTTTTTAAATCGGTAGAAGTGATCGATTCGGTTCTGTTACTTAATGGCAGAGGCGTAGAGATTTTTGCGGGAACATAATCTGAATAATTAAAGCAATTATTGATTCTAGTTGGAATTTACATATTTTATCATTTTATTATAAAAATAATTTTTTACCAATCATTGTTTGATGTATAGTTGTTTCTCTCAAAACAGCAACATAATAAGCTGTTTAGATATTACCGAAATGTATGTAAAGTTAACTAAAATTAGTTTTCCAATAAAAAAATCACGAACTCAAAGCAAAGCTCCATTTTCTTGGTTTGATGATGAACTAATAGTAATGCGAAAAAATCTTTCCACAGTCAAGAAAATTGCTGATGTTACAAAGGACTGTAGTGAGTATAAAAAGTTTAAGAAGCACTATAAATCAACAATAACATTAAAGAAAAAACCGGCTTATAGACATTTCTTTTCCAATTCAGAAAATATATCTCGTGACAGTTGGAAGTTATAAATTATCACAAAAATAAATTTCAAAATTAAGTCTCTCCAAGCGCGATTACATCAAACGATTTCAGTAGCTAAACATAGAACTTAATTCCACAAATGATAATGTAGTCATAAATTTTTTGAAAGATGTACACTCTCCTTGCTACTCTTTATTTTTAATACCTGTTAGTGATACTGAAATCAGGAATATTTTGCATAGATTGAAAAATTCGCACTGCAGGTATTTTTATTTCTTACACAAAAGAATAATTGTTAAAACAATCAATATAATTATTGACAAATTAATTATACTTTATAATAATTGCCCTACTGAAAGGAATTTCCCAGATGTATTAAAAGTAACTAAAGTGCTACCAGTTTTTAAAGGGAGCTTTAGATGAAATTGGTAATTATCGTCCCATCTCAATCATTCCCATTTTCTGCAAAATTTTTGAAAGTCTACTAAATGATCGTTTGATAGAATATCTATAAAAAAACAAAATATTTCACTGTAATTAATATGGCCATAGATAAAAATGTAGCACTACACTAGCTATACAGAAAATTGTGATAGATATAGTTGATGTCTTGGAGGAAGGTCATTTTGTATCTTTTTGTATCCAAATCATTTTTTATTTATCATTTTATTTATCATTTTATTTATTTATTTTATTTATTATGTTGTATTCAAAGCTTTTGACTGTGTTTCTCATAAATTACTATTTGAAAAACTAACAAATAGAAAACAGCTATTCTGAGTTTAACACTGTCAAATATGTGGTTCCTCAAGGTTCGATATAATAAGCCACTTTCTTTCTTATTTATATGAATCATTTACTTTTCTATACTTTTCCTATAAAATGTGTTTGTTTTGCAGATGATACAACTCTCATTAATACTGATATTAATCAGCATAATTTAAATATTAAAATAGATAGTGATACCCAGAAAGCAAATAACTGATTTTTACATAATGAGCTGAAGCTAAATGAAGAGAAAAATGAGAATTTAATTTTTAATTCCGATCTTAAGAAATAGTGTTAAACTTTTTGAAATCTTTCTAGATAATTTGGATTGGCGTGCTCATACAAATTACTTAAGTTCTAGACTTGTTACAAGTATATTTTTAATACGCAACTTAGTTTATATGATTCCGAAAAGTACCCTTAGAATGAACTACTTTGTACTATTCCATAGGGATCTAAAGTACGAAATAACTATTTTGGGTAATTCTTGTCACGCAGATCGAATTTTTAAACTACAAATAAGAGTAGTGAGGATATTTGCAGGAGCAGAGTATAGGGGACACTGTAAACCTTTATTTCTAGATTTAGGTATTATGCCACTACCTTTACTATATATATATATATATATATATATATATATATATATATATATATATATATATATATATATATGAGACGTTGATTGAAATTCATGCCAACAAAGGTAAGTTTAAAATAAACTCCAACCTCCATAATCACGATACAAGATCTTTAGATGTTATTAGAGCACAACGTTTTAGGTTGACAAAGACCATAAAAAATTCGACCGATGTTGGTTTATATAACTTTCTGCCAGATAAAGTAAAAAGTCTTCATTTACTATCGTTTAAGCTTAAAATCACACTTTTTAAAACATTGTTTCTATTTATAAACGGAGTACCTAAGTACAGCTCTTACACAATACTACTAGTTTGGTCAGGGTATTTGCCTTTTATGACGATATTTCATATTTTTATATTTTTGTTTAATGTGTTTGTCGTTTCTTAAATTGTTAATATTAAATATATCTGTTTGTAATGTTTAAATTCGCAAAAACTTTACATGTATGTATGTAAAAATTGTCACTATTCCTTTGACTTATCAAAAACAATTTTTTTTGTATATTGACTAAATAAACTCTATTCTGTAACGATAAAACACTGAAAACTTTGTTTTCAAACTTCCACAAAATTTATTTTAAATCTTATCACTACAGCTGTTTCGGCTTATTGCCTTTCTTAAGTGATCTATTTTTGGCTTGGGTTTACAAATTTCTAGTCTCTAATGAAATAGGTTGAGGAGGGGAGAACTGTTTGTCTCAAGTTGGTCATTCAGAATTATATCTGTATTTTTTAATTTGTTGATTTCCATAGATTCTAACAAAGATAGCTTAAGGCCTTTATTTTGAATGTGAAGAATTTTAAATTTGTCATTAAAAGAATGATTATGATCTAGAAGGTGAAGTGCGTATGTCGAATCTGTTTTTCTATTTTTGAAAGCCCTTTTATGTTCTGCCATTCGTTTATCGAAGTTTCTACCAGTTTGACCGATGTAAGTTTTTGGGCAGTCGCCACATTGAAGTTTGTACACACCACTATTTAACTGTTTTTTATTTTGGCTCTTGATATTTTTAATATATTTGCCTAGGTTGTTATTTGTTCGGAAAGCTGGTGTTATTCCTTTTTTTTTTATGTGTTTGGCAATTTTTGTTGTTATTTTGACTGTATATGTAATCGAGCAGAAGGTACTGGGTTTTTTCTCTGGTGGTGGAAATACTAATTTCAAGTCTTTCTTGTGTAGTTTTTGATTTAATATTTTATTAATTGTTTGTTCGTTGTATCCGCTGTTTACTGCTATTTGCTTAATTATATTTAATTCTGTCTCAAAGTTGTATTTTGACTTCGGAATTTCTGTTAATCTATGTAACATACTATAATAAGCTGCCAGTTTATGTTGTGTTGGATGGGATGATGAATTGTGTATAGTCGTGTCAGTATGGGTAGGTTTATGAAATATGGAAAAGTCATGTTTCTTTTGAAGTCTGCTAATTATTAAATCTAAAAAATTTATGGATTGAGTTTGTTCTGTTTCTATTGTAAATTCAATATGGCTATGAAGTGAATTAATATACGATAAAAATTGGTCGAGTTGCCTGTTAGTTCCTGTGAAACATACCAGTACGTCGTCTACGTATCTCCACCAATATAAAAACTGTTTGAATACGGGATGTTTTGAAATATTTGTCTCTAGATGATCCATAAAAATATCTGATAGCAATGGGCTTAGAGGATTACCCATTATAAGTCCTGCACATTAAAAATAAAGGCCTTAAGCTATCTTTGTTAGAATATATGGAAATCAACAAATTAAAAAATACAGATATAATTCTGAATGACCAACTTGAGACAAACAGTTCTCCCCCCCTCAACTTATTTCATTAGAGACTATAAATTTGTAAACCCAAGCCAAAAATAGATCACTTGAGCAAGGCAATCAGCCGAAACAGCTGTAGTGATAAGATTTAAAATAAATTTTGTGGAAATTTGAAAACAAAGTTTTCAGTCTTTTATTGTTACATAAAATTTCCATCAAGTAACGGTCGAATCCATCAAATTCTATTCTATTCTATTATATATTGGGGATAAGATATGTCAGAGATGATTTAATATAAAAAGTCTCTTCTTCGCATTTTTCTCCTTGTTAGGACATTTTTATCTCGATGTTTACCATTGTACTGCTAGTTCTGTTACTTCATTCTTCTAATTTTTACTTTTTACTTTTTAATTTGTACTTTTTACTATACTTCAGCAAAGAAATAATAAAATGAGTCTGTGTTATCATTCCTGTTCCATACCATGCAAGTTAAACGTTTACTTTGTATTCCAGTTCTTTCTTTGAAGAAATATTTAGTTTTTTATCGACGCTTATAAAATGAAAGTATTTGCTTTGTTGTTGTCTAGTTTTGGCAATCTGCCGATTCAGCTTTTGATTAATCGGTTGTGTCTTTATTTTGCTGTGTAAACACATTATGAAGTCAGGACATTGATTAACTCAGTTATTAAATAGACATCTCGGTTATTTGATACTCAAGAAAATTAATTTTTTCTCAGACCTAAACTTCGAATCTCGATAATTGCGTTTCGTTATGTATACTCCCGTAAACGCAATACGTAGAATTAATTGCGAGGAGTATTGTATTTGTAACAATATGATTCATGTTATGCATGTCATGATGACTTTTTTCAAATAAACACGTTTTGGCATGTTTTCAAAAGACATTATGTAAATACAAACCTAAAGCATCTGCGGTTCAATCAATTGCGTTTTTACCTCGCTTTAAGCTCTATGCTTCTTCAAGGGTGGGTTTAATTATTTGGGTGCTTATGCTTGTTTGGTTTGAATGCCAGTTTTCGTTCGTATGACTTCAGTTGGATTCCGAAGACTAAGGGCGCCGCCGCCAAAAAAGGTAAAGGGGGTGGAGAAGGACGGGAAGGATACCGAGAACAAGAAGAAGGCAAGAGGCGGAAATCGTACCT